CCTAAGGACGAGAAGGACCTCAGCGTTCCTGGGAGGAAGGGAAGAAAGGAGGCAAAAGCCTATTAAAATCACTTCTCATCCCGACAGGCCGATGGACCCCGCGCCTAGCGGGTGACCATCTCGGACAATAGACGATAAACCCCCAGCGGGGACCCTTGGGGCAGTAGGTGACATTTTATTATGAAGCCTCGGCTCACAGGGGAGGCCATGGAGGCTAAACAGTTGTGCCAGGTCCGACAAAGGACTGATCAGGGTGGCAGGATGAGGTCACAGTGTAACGGAGGATGAAGTGTAAGAAGGTTATATTTCAACCATCATCGTTCTGATTTGGTTTTGCATTTTGCTTTCGAAAATATACAAAAGTCTAGGAAGCAGTTGTGAAATAATAACCTGTCATCCCAGCACTTGGGAGGCTGAGGCAGGAGGATCATCATGAATTTAAAGCCAGCCTTGGCGGCATAGTGAGTTCAAGACCACCCTGGAACACACAGTGAGATCCTGTCTGCAAAAACAAAACAAAACAACAGAACGAAAAACAAAGAAAATAAAACAAATATGAAAAGAGTATTTTACTTTACGTTTACAGTAATTGTTTCAAGGGGGAAAAAGAGAGACAAACCCTCAGGGACCAACAATTCTCTGGTTGTCCGCCAGGGGGCGGAGCTGGCCAGCGTTTCGCACAGTGCCGCCGCCGCGCACAGAGGCTGGGCTCGGGTTCTCCCGGACCTGACCTCCGGGGACGGCGGTCAGCGCGGCCACGCCCATCCCGGGCCGCGATCAGGGCCGGGGCTCCGGGGGGGGGGTCGTTTCAGGGCTTTGATAGGAGAATCTTTCGGGGCTCCGCTGCAGCAGCGCAGGCCTGGGGAGCCCGCGGACCGGAGCCCGGGCTCCTCCCCGCAGGCCCAGCAGCAGGAGGGGCGCCCAGGGCCGGGCCTGCCCCTGCTCCGGGGCAAGTCTGCCCGCCGGCATCCTGGTGAGCACACAGCGGGGCAGGGACGACCCAGAGGGGTGCCCGGGTTCCCCAGGCCCAGGCACACAGCCCGGCCACCGGGACTTGTTTTCTTTTTGAGACAGGGTCTTGCTGTATAGTCCCGGCTGGCCTTGAACTCACAGCGATCTTCCTGCCTCAGCCTCCCCAGCATGCTGGGCACCACCGTGTCTGGCAAGGCTTGGCTTTGCAGACTCTGGGGGCGCCTTGATCCCAGTCCCCACCCCCAAGCCACAAATCTGCTCTGAGATCGAAAGAGAAACAATGCCAGGGTCCCGAGCACCGACGCGGAGACTGAGTGACCGAGTGTGATCCCAAACACGCCCAGGCTGCCGGCGGAGTGTGCGGCGAGCATGCTGGGGAGCAGGGGCGAAGCCCACCAGGGACACGGCCTGGTCCTCCCTGCGGCGAGAGGAACGGGTGTCTGAGCCTCAGTCTGGAAACTGCCACCCAGCGCATGCACTCACACACACAAACACAGAGTCCAGACCCCCGAAGGAGAACATAACAGGAAGTCAGGTTTGGCTTGGCAGGCACAGCACAAACACTTCCGGTTACCTGAGCACCAGGTGGGAAGGTGGGGCGTTGGGGGAGCGGGAGCCATCGCCGCGTCAGGGTTAGGGGCGCCTAGGACAGAGCCCAAGGGGAAGCCGAGAGGGCCAGGGAGTTCCCACGCACGGCCACCCGCCCGGGGCAGAGAGGGTCCCCGGGACGAAAGGTGACACCTGCCCCAGGGAGCAAGGAGCAGGACGGCGCAGGCTGCCTCGGAGCGGAGCAGGTGGCCTTGCCGCCCCCTGAAGGGCACACAGACCTGAAACCCCAGACAGCAGGGCCGGTGGGGACCCAGAAGCTGCCAGGGACAGCGCTGCGGCCGGAGGAGAGGCCCTGCCTGAGCCCGGGCCCAGCCCCAGCGAGGAAGGAAAGCAGGGAGGAGCCAGACAGAAAAGCGTCCCAGCCCCTTGGCCGAGCCGGCTCCCGGTGGAGGGGCCCAGGACTCGCAGGTGGGAAGAGGTGGGCAGTGGGCTGCGTCACCGAAGCCCAGCCTAGTGCGGAGCCGTGCGGGTTATCAGTCAGGATTTCTAGAGTGGTCGACTCCGGTATCCAGAAATCTTACGTGCGAGGCACAGTCCATCCTCCCTCGCTCCTCCCAGCACAGTTAACCCGCTCCTGGGAGCAGCCGGTGTGCCCGCCATCACCCCGGCCCTGGAGCTGTCCCCCACCCTCCGCTCCGGCTGTCCGATGACTGGGCGCCCACCACTGCCCCTAACTCACCACAGACTTCATTCCCCTCTCCCTCCCGCACGCTTCTCCCTTGCTTGCCTTTCTGCTCTCGCTGTACTCTGCGGGTGTCGAAAGCCCCCTCCGACGTCGCTGGCTGAGGGCAGGCACACAGACCTGGGGGCACACTCGGAATGGTGGCCCAACCACGGCTCTGAGCGCGCTGGAACCACCTTGGCCCACGCCTCACGCGGCTGCCCGGGCCGGAAGGCGGCAACGGCTGGTGGCAACCTGACGCCTGTCCTCTCTCGGGGACAGGTACATTTTAACTGATATTTTTGAAGAGTAAAAAATCTACAGGTATAATTCACTTACGGTGGACACGTTAGAGAATCTTTCGTAAACGGGAAAGGGGCTGGGCATAGTGGCACTGGCACGCACCTGTGATCCCAGCACTTGGGAGGCTGAGGCAGGAGGATTGCCTTGAGTTCGAGGCCAGCCTGAACCCAAGCCAAACCAAAACACAAAAGGGGGTGGGAGGATCAAGAGATGCAGGCGGGGAGGAGACTGGAGATGCACTGCACACACCGGCCACCTCTGCCTCCATGATGAAAGTGATCACGGAGACTGCAAATGTGGGCCTATAGAGATTTTAAATAAAAAATGGTACGGAGGCCGAGCGGCAGGCGCTCCTGCACATCCCAGCATTCCCTGGGAGGAACGCTGCCGTAGACAGTGGGCACTGCCAGTTGCTGCTGTCGCTGTTACTGCTGAGCCGCCCCACGCCCAGCCGCCAACGCTGGCCCGGGCTGTGCTCCAGCCTGCGCCCACTCACCCTCTGGACTCATATCGCACGGATTAGAAAGTAGTTTTACACACGTTATCCTTTTTGGTCTTCCCAGTAATCTTTTCTTTTGGGGGGTGGTTTGAGACAGGGTCTCACTATGCAGCCCAAGCTGTCCTCAGACTTGAGGCAATCCTCCTGCCTCAGCCTCCTGGGAGCCGGGATGACAGGTGTGCACCCCACTTCTGGCTTTCCTCTGTGACCTTTGAATTTAGAGTTATGCCCACGCGCAGATGGGCAAACTGCAGCTCAGGAAGGCCGAGTCTGTGAGGTCCCCGAGCCAGGCTTGGAGATTTCTCCATAGCGAGTGGCTGCCAGGGATGATGAACAGGGGCCCAGGGAGGGGACCCCGTGTCTGCAGCTCACAGCGCTGTGCGGCTCTGGCAGATGGCGGAGCAGCGGCCATGCTGGGGCTCTGCTAAGTACTGGCTGCACTCTCAGCCCTGAGCTGGGGGTCACGTGAGGCAGAGGGACCCTGTGTCCCCAAGTGCAGAGGAGGGCGGGGGCTCAGGAGGGCAGCAGGCCACTGGTAGGCGGCACCGAGGGAGGAGGGCGCTTCGTGTAGTGCCATGGGAGTGCCGGGTGTGGGTGAGCACCCTGCGAACTCATGGGGGCTCCATAGGCTCCGGGCGGGCCAGCAGGCTGATGCAGAGGGGTCCAGCCTGAGTCCCCACCCCACAGCCTTTCTGTTCCACACAGCTGCCCTCGGGGACCCTGACACTGCAGTTCTCCCACTCCTGCAATGGGATTCTGCAGCTCCTCTCATCACCAGGAGAATCTGAGCCTGACCAGGTGCCACACACTGAAATCTCAGTACCCTGGGGGGCTGAGGCAGGAGGATTTCAAGTTAAATCAACCTGGCACAATCCTGTCTCAAAATTTAAAAAAAATCTTAAAAACGGGCTGGCTCACAAAGGCCCTGAGTTCAATCCCTGGGATCATAAATAAATAGAGAAGTAATAAAAATAAAGAAGAGAATCGGTATGAACACCCTCTGAACCCAGGCGAGCCACACACCTGCCTCAGCCTGAGGAACGCTGGGCCATTTCTGGCTTCAGCCTTGATGCCTTTCTCTCCCGACACCATCTCAGGACCTTGTGAATGGACTAAGGGACAACTGACGGACAACAAAGCACACAGTGGGGCCATTGTTATCGCTTCTGCCGAGAGCCGGTGACCCCTCAGAATCAGAGCCCCGAGGGCCTGGGCCGGATGTCTGAAGAGCCAGCTGGCAGCAGAGGAACAACATGACCCAGTCCAGCCCAAATCAGCAGGCCAGGAGGTTCGGAGAGAAATAAACGGCTGCTATTTTGAGTGAGTACCTTTTGGCATGGTTGTTACACAGCAAAAGCTAACGATACACACTGCAAATAAGAGTACAGCCACAATTTCAGGGAGCAGTGCCACAATAGAGCCCGAGGACTCTCTGCTTAAAAAGAACTTTACTTCCCTAGCTCTAAAGGAAATTTTTCTATTGCAGAATCAACCCACAACAATCACATTTAGGTGAAATGAGATGAAAAACAGAACAAAAAGAAAGACAGCAGCCTTAAGATGCTGCAGCTTCGAGCCAATGTTCATGCCAAGGCAGCCGAGGGGTTGTCTGAATCCCTTGGGCGAAGTAAGGCTTTGGTGTTTCAGAATCTATTCGAGACAAGCAGAGCATCAACACGGGCCTGGAAATAGTTTCTTGACAAAAAAAGCTTATATTTTAATAGCGTTTGGCATGCAATCGTGGGTCTCTTTTTTGCTTGTGTTCTTAGCAAAAGAACATGGCTGGCTCTGTTTCTGTAAGGCATGGAAACTCTGTAAATCACTTTGGAGACCAAAGGAATAAAAGCACAAGTAGACATCCAGTTGTAGGGCCAGATGCAGCTAACTTTGGAGTGTGAGTACCATTTCCACAGTCATGCCTGCCGGCTGCCTTCTTGCATAACAAAGAGAACTTACTTGTAAGCTTTTGTGTGGTCCAAGTCTTCAGGGTTTAAGTGGGAGAATGGATCTGCAAAGGAATTAAACAAACGTCCGTAAGTAAATCGCATCTGGAGAGGGTGTGCTTTCCACCCCAAGTGCTGCCACAATGCTGAGGATTTATTCTGTTGGTGAAAGACTAACAAAGCTTTTTCTGGCTCTGGGTGGAACAGGGAGGGTTTTTGGCCCACATCTCTCCACTTCCTGAATAGCACTCTCCCGTTGGCTGCGGGCAGGCCGGACCTGAGGCCAGCATAGCTATAAATGGTACTGTTTTTGTGCAAGCCCCTCTGCTCTGGCCCCGGCCTGCTCTGCAGGACCAGGCCTCAGCTTCCGCGACAGCACTGGGCAGGCTGGAGGACGGGGGCTGCGCTGTGGGCATCCAGTCACTTACGGGAGGAGCCGCGGAGCCCTGCATATTGGTCACCCCGGCCTTGGGGGCTGAGAGCAGAAATGCAGCACAGGCCACGGGGCGTCAAACGGTCCGGCAGCCACAGGAAGGAAAAGCAGAGGACACGAATCTCAGTCACGTTCTCCCTAACTGTGGACTCTGAAAAGGACGGCAGGACCGGACGGGGAGGCTGCTTAATCGGAGAACAGGAAGGAAGGGTTGGGGAGCAGCAGGGTGCAAGGCCCGGGAATGGGGGCAGGACTGTGATCGGCATGCATGAGACACAAGGAACCCCGAAGGTGTGAGACCAGGGCGCCAGGGGATGATGACGACAGCGGGTTGTGTGCAGCCGCCAAGCTGCAGCGGGGACTGTTCACCCGCAGAGCCAGCGGCACTAAGAGAACTCGAGGGAGACAGGTCTGACTCAGCCTCATTTATATAGGATGCTATCCTTACGCCGTGTGCGCAGTGTAGAGTATTGAGCTACGTTAGATTCTTTTACTCTCTCCCAACAACTGTGCATATTTGAAGCTCTCAAAATATTATCTGATAGATAAAGACAGTAAAATGGTTGCTCGTGGGAAGCAGGCTAACATAGCTGTCCTCTCACATGGCTTTTTTTGTGACAAGAGCAGCTAAAATGCACCTAGTTAACAAAAGCCTCCAACACAACACCATTTTATTTATTTATTTGTTTTTCGGTTTTTTGGAAACAGGGTCTCGCTGTGTAGTTTAGGCTGCTCTTGAACTCACTCTGTAGCCCAGGCTGGATTTGAACTCACAGTGATCCTCCTGCCTCAGCCTCCCGAGTGCTGGGATGACAAGTGTGCGGCACCTGGGCCTCAGGATGTCATTCAGTAGAAATCACCAAGCAGCGATTGTGAATATTCACACACACTTCCTACGGGCAAGGGACTGCTGTCACTCCTGTCCCCTCAGTGAGCCTGGCGATCACGCTGTGGGGTGAGAACCGCATCATCTAAGCACACTGCCACCCCAACAGGGACAGGCACTGCCTGAGGTCACAGGCAGTGACACAGGGCCCAGGGCCTGTGGCCTCAGCCACTGGAGTTCCAGTTAAATCGGCTGGCTCGGGAGCCCTGATTTTCTGTCCTAACCACCACCTGCCCGGGTGGGCTCCCGCTGATAACCAGGTTGGGTCGCAGCTGGCACACCCACTTTGGACCAGGCTCAGTGCCAGCCCTTAGTTTTTATGTTGAGAGGGACTCTCACTAAATAGCCCGGGCTGGGCTCAAACTTGGGATCCTCCTGCCTCAGCCTGCTGAGTAGCTGGGTTACAGATGTGCTTTTCTCTTTGTTAATCCTTAGACTCAGGAAATTGTACTCGGGGAGCAAAGTCAGACCACACATGTGTGCTCGCAGCCTGAGTCACGCACGATGGAGCCAGCACACATGGTGCTGCTTAGCATCCATGTGGGGCAGTCACCGGTCACCCTGCCAGCGCCCCAGCCCCCTCCCGCAGCCCTGGGCCACACACCCACTCTGCCTGTGCTGCCTGCTGGCCACAGGGCTCTGAAGGGTGAGATCCTCCCCCAACTCGCCTTTGTCCCAGGACCTCCCACAGGGTCAGTATACAGTAGGCGCTCAGGAGAGGCAGACAGGGAAATGCTGGAGCAGCACCGAAAGGAAAGGAAATGGGGCTGAAAGCTCAGGCCTAATAACAAAACTAACCTAGAAATTCCACTCAACCCGCTATTCCCCTTCTAGGCATCTTCCTGAAGAGGTAAAGACCTCATAGTACTGGGATCCATGCACACCCATGTTTATAGCAGCACGGCTCCCAGTGGCTAAGTCTTGGAAGCAGCTTCTGTGCCCATCAGCAGTTGAATGGATACAGAGAATGTGGCATTTATACCCAGTGGAGTACTACTCTGCCACAAAGAAGGGTAAACTGGAGTCATCTGTGGGGAAATGCTGCACCTTGAGACCATGACGTTGAGTGAAATAAATCAGACACAGGAGCTGAAACACCACATGGGTTCTCTTCTATGAGAAATCCAAAGTATAAACAATAGAAAAAAACAAAATAAAAGGTAGATAATAGGAAACAGGGAGATGGATCGTTTGCAAATGGGAAGAGAGTCCAGAGATGGGGGTGGGGCAGAGGGGAGTGGGTAAAAAGAATTATGATGTGTTAAGTACAAGTACCGACTCCCTAAGATGAATGTAAACGCCATGTGCTGCAAACATGCACTAATAGAAAAATGTACAGACGCCTCCAGGGTGAAGGCCAGTGAACGGGGCTCCAACAAAGTACAGTCTGACTTCCTCTTCCAAGCCAGCCATGCCAGGCGTCTTCCTGCACCTTCGCAATCCTGGGGAAACTGAGGGAGCTGTGAAGGCAGCAGACCTGCGCTGCCTCCAAGGAGCTGCCTCAGGCCGGCCCGCAGTCCTCCTCCCGTCTCCCCTCCTGCCTCAACTCCTCCGGGACGGCTACGAAGCTCGGCCTGGCGGGGCACATGCTCCTCCTCTGGCAGCTGAGGACCCAGCTTTCAGGATCTGGGACCCGCGCAGACCTGGGGGTGCAGGAGAAGGAGCCAGGGAGCCCACAGAGACTCCACCACGCTGTGTCCCGGGGCCGCTCATGGGCAGATGCCACTGGCCGCCCTGAGGAAATAAGGCTGAGAACAGGCTCCTCCTGGGAGGGCCTCGGAGTGCAGCCTGAGGGCTGGGCACCCTGTAGGCTCAGGGAACAGCGAAGGGTGAAGGGAACCATGCTCCCGTTGACCTTGCTGTTCCTGCACTGCAACAGCACAGGGAAGATAAACCCACCTGAAAAGAAGTCACTCCGAGCCTGCAGGGACAAGTGCCACAGCTGGAGTCTGGAAGGGGACAGGGAGGCAGATACAGGCCGGTTCCAGGGTAACGTGTTGGGAGGGCGAAGCGAAGCGGCCACGAAGCCCAGCTCCTCACTCAGCAACTGGGTCAGCACTGACCTCATTTACAGACACGGGTGGGGCTGGGAAGGCGATCAGGAACTCCAAGTTCACCTGGCGTCGCCCAGACAGCAGGGGAGATGTCACAACAGCAGAAAGAAGTCTCGAGCTGCCGGGCGTGGCGGTGCACGCCTGCAATCCCAGCACTCAGGAGGCTGAGGCAGGAGGATTGTCACGGCCGGCCTGAGCTACATAGCGAGACCCTGTCTCAAAACGAAACAAGTCTAGAACTGTGTTGTCCAGTGCAGGAGCCACCAGCATATGCTGCTAAATTAACTAGAAGGACAAGCTCACTGAACTTCCTGGTCACATGAGCCACAGAATTAGGAGCGGGCCTGAGCGGACTGCGGAGAAGACCACCAGAGCTTTCTGCTCTCTTCTCTGGTCACGTCTGTCTGTTTTCGATCTAATGTTATCCCAGACAGGAGGAGGATGGAAAGGGGGTTTGGGGGCACACAGACAGCGACGCCAGTTGATAAAGGACGCCCGGTGCTTCGAGTCCATGAGCGACGCGGGGATCCGGGAGCTCTGTCAGGCAATGACACGTGTGACCGATTCAGCCCTGCACCCCGAGGTGGGACAGCGAGGAGACGATGGCGACGCATTGCAGTCCCAGCGCCCGACGGGCTGCCCGCTTTCTCCAGCCTCTGCCTCCGCTGGCAGAGCTGTCCTGCTGATCCCGCTGTCCGGAGAGTCATCCCGGCCACCGCACTCAGGGCGCTTCCGGTGCAGGACACTCGTGGAGAAGCTGAGGCGGAAAGAATTCTGCTCATGTCAAGGCCGGGGAAATAAGAAATACACGTGGCTTCCCGTTTACACACACGTTAGGGGAGCGCAGCGCAAAGTCAGGGTGAGCCAGCGGCGGAAACAGCACACATGGCAGTTTTTTCTGGGTTTCTACTGGAAGGGCAGAGGCAGTTTTAAAAACCAAGCCTCTGGAATTTACCCACATTCCTGCCGGCCGGAGCTGCCATCTAGTTCTGCTACCCTGCAGGCAGAGGTGTATTTCTGGGGCTTCTGCCCCCGTTTATGCGCCACTGGGGAGGACCCGGGAAAGGCTTTGCAGATGGACGGTGCTGGGGAAACAGATGGCCAGCGCCTGGACAATTCCTCTTTCAGCTTCAGCTCCTCGAGTGCAAAACGCCTTTTGCACAGAGCTGGTGCAGAGATGGAAATGCCATTGCTTCTTTCGTTCACTTTCAATTCTAAATATTTTGATGCGTGTTTCTACACATACTCCGAGTGCTTCACTTTGAAAAGCCATGATTGATTAAATTGCTTAAGGAGGGATAGTTAGGCTGCGGCAGTCTCGGTGACGATGAGCAGTAACACTGCCATCTTCCGGGTTGCCCCTCTCAGCTCTTTCCCTTGTTTCTCTAGCTTCCTTGAATTCTAACAGTAGAATTAATAGTTTTTCCCCTCAAAGGGATTTTTACTAAAATACAGTAATACCATCAACAAAATAATGCCTAGTTCTCAAGATCTTGATATTTTCTACATAGGATGGCCTCGGGAATGCTGTTTAATTTTGTATTTCTAAGATGACTGTGAGGATGGTCGCTTTTCATGTTTATTTGTTAATGGTTTGTCACCTGGAGAAATAATGTGCATTTATTTTGCTCCTTCACATCCCAGGGCTTGGTATTTTCCTTATGGCTCTGATGGCTTTATGCTTCATGGCCA